GAGGTGGTGGGGCTGAGCGTGCAGCAGCGGAGGAGGGACCAGCATCTGGCGCGGCAGCGGCTGAGACGAGGAAGCAGAGGCTGAGGAGGGGGCGGGCGAGCCAGCGGAGAAAGAGACGCTGCTCCGGGAAGGGGGAGCCGCGGAGGGGACAGCAGACAGAGCGGCGAAGCTCCAAGACGCGGGGCTGCCATAGCTTTGAGGCGAAAGTACTGCTGGCGGCGGCTGCAGCTGCCTGCTGTTCCCACCGCTGCCCCCTTCTCCGTTCACTCTCCGCGGCGCCTTCCTCTCCTCAGTCCGGACCTTTTTTGCGGACACAGAGCCCGGTGGGTCCCCGGAAGGGGACTGCAGCTTGCTGAGCGGTTCTTTCTCCGAGACGGGGGCGGCGGTCGCAGCGGTGCCGCGCACTGGGCTCGGCGGCTCCGCCATTTTGCGCTCCTGTTGTATTTACTCTCCTCCGCTCCCGGGCGCTGGGCAGGGGCGGGCCCTCGTCGAGGGGCGGGGCGGGGGCGGGGCGGCCGGCCCACCAGCCCGGCCTCCGATTGGACGAACCACCTGAGGGATGGCTTTAGGAGCCAAAGGCGCGAATACGGAGTCGAGGGGGTGGGACCGCCTAGTGGACCCGCTCTGGAGGTCATCGCTCGGCGGGGCGCGTCGAGTGGCCAGCGAGATTTGAGGGGAGGGTCTTTCAAATGTCGCCAGCAGGAGTTCGGGTGCCCGGTGGGAGTCCGAGCGGAAGCCCTACCTCGGACCCCAAGTCCATCTCGCCCAGGTCGCACTCTTCTGTGCCTCGACTTCTTACTTGAGCCACTTTCTCTTCCTTCTCTCAGGGACCCCTGCGGTCCCTGCGCTCGGAAATCCGGATTTCCGGGATGCTGAACTTGGAGGAGAAAATTGTGCCGGAGTTGATCCTTTCCTTCTCTTAGGCCAAGGCTTGATTGAGCAAGGCGGGGCTAAGAAAGCACTTGGTGCGGTGACAAGAAACATCGTCCTTGTTAAAGTCAACTCTTAAATGTTTTGAGGGAGGTTAACTTCCTGCACGCCCAGAACTTTCGGGTTACTTCCGACGTTGAAGGTAAGATTTTCCTTGTGTTTGGAGAGTTTCTTAAATTATAGTGATCGGACCCTTACTTGCACGAAGGTTTGAGCATTACACTTATTATAATTGTAATCGTTTAAACTCACCAAGAAAAATCCGTCAGTGACAAAAGGCTTTTGAAAAACAAAAAAATTTTTAAGGTGTCTGTGTTAGTGTTTCTGGCTGTTCTGTGCTTGCATGCTTTGTATTTTGATTTTTAGTATGGGGCGGGGCGGGGAGGAATTGGGGAGATGGGTTACAGTATTACGGTTTTAAACAGAGCAGGAAATATGATGGGGGCTGGGGGAGGTAGGGAGCCACGAGGTCAGCCGCTGCTCAAAGGCTCCTCAGCTCCACAGGAGAAAGTTGAGGCTGACTGTTCCCTAGAGTCTGAAGCGCTTCAGGGCAACTCTGCTCTTCCCGGTATGGTCTCTGAATTGAAATCAACTCGGTGGCAGTGGGTTCGTAAATATATTTATTGAAGTATAATTGATATACAATAAATTACACATATTTAAAGTAGGTAATTTGATCATTCTGATGAGTGCATGCATTTATACATGTATAAACCAATATTATCTTTAGATGCCTTAGAATTTTTAAGCACTGAAAATAATTGCTTTGTTTAACACATTTGCTTCCTTGCAAAGAAAGTGAAAACCTTATCGTTGAAATTTACAGGCAGCGTAAATTTAGTGTTGCGAAAGGTTGTGTTGGTGGAGGAACAGAGAGCACAGGGCTACATGTTGAGTGCTACTCATTAGCTTTGTAGCTTAGGTGCTTTACCTGTCATGGCCTTGCTTTTTCTAAGTGAATAGGTTTGATTACATGATCGCTGAGATCCTTTCTGCCATTTTCAAGAAGCATTTCAAAATCACACAGAAACTGTGACAATTAAAATAGCTTGGTGAGGAGCTGACACCAAGGGCTCAAGTGGAAAGCAGGTGTTGTGAGAATGATGAAGTCAACATATGTACTGATGTGCTGGACACAAATGATGTATGTATGTATTGTGATGAGTTGTATGAGCCCCTAATAAAATGATTATTAAAAACAGAAGGAAAAAAAATAGCTCCACCACACAATCTTTTATTTTTGTCAGATCTAGAATTTGTATTCACTAATCTAGTACCTTAAAACATGAGCCATATATTCCCACGTCTTCCACATAGAAAGCTGAGAAGTCTGACTTTTATCAAAGGGCCTAGTTAAAAAGTATGCTCTTCCCTTTTTGAATCTGTTATTCATTGCAGTATACTTGATTACACTGTTGTACACTGCTAACAGACCCAACTTATATTTGTAGAACCTGGGCAAGAGAGTGATGATGAAGGCCCACATACTAGTCATCTAACTATTTAAGTTAGAAATCCAGAAAGTCAGCTGTAATATCAAGTATGCTTTATTGTACTTCCCTGACAACACCACTTTCATAATGATCTGGAAGGCCAATCCCTTTGATTTCTCACCTTCAGCTTCTGGGTACACCATGCCAAGAGGGGCCATGCAGGTACCCTCCTCAAAGACCCCACCCTCTCTTCTAAGCCAAGATTAGGCTCCTCTGCTATTTCTTTCTTCTCATTCTTTCTTTTCTTTTTTGATTGTGGCTAAATACATGTGTAACAAAATATTTGACATTCCAACCATCTTCACCCGTATACTTCAGTGATGCCAATTTTTTCGTGATTGTTAGTTTCAGTTCCACCCTGATCCTTATCTGTTCAAAACTACTACCCATTCCGTTTTGCTCTGTTGTTGCAGTTGTTCCACGGATCATCTCCCCAACTCCTTCAACTCCATTCTCTGTAACAACAGCTTCAGTGAAAACATAACTGCTGTGCACCCAGTATTTCCACCTTCTAATCTCAAACCTGGCTGCCCTCTGAAGACACATTCCGTGCTTTTGAAGGCCACTCACTCTGTTCTCTGAGCTGGCTATCACCTCTCCAATTTCACACCACAGAATTTCACGTTACTGTTTCCCTTTATGTATTCATACAAAAAAATTGTTCATTTCATATGAACAGTATTGCTCTTCAATCCTTGACTGACTTGTTGTTTATCACATTTATCAAAGACTTTGATACTTGGCTCATATCCATCCTGTCTCCCCCAGAAGCCCTGGTGGAACAATGAGTAAGCACTGGGCTGATCAATAAAAGGTTGGCAGTTCAAAGCTCCCAGCCGCCCTGTGGGGGAAGATGCGGCTCTCTGCTTCCATAAACAGTCATAGCTTTGAAAACCCTAGAAAGCAGTTCTGCCCTGTCTTATGACGGCTCTACACGTCAGAATGTACTTGTCCACAGCAGTGTTCCGGACCTTTCACCATTCACTTTACTGACTTCAGTGTTCGTGCTAACACTCTTGCTTCTGTTTCTTCTTGAAACTGCGTTTGCATTTTCTTTCAATCATGAATTCCAATCTCCCTCCCCTGGTTTCACCCTGGCCCTTAGGGTTGCTGTGAGTTGGGATTGACTCCATGGCAGGAATTTGGTTTTTGTTTAGATTTTTTGTCCACTTCCTGCCGCTCACAGGTCTTTCAGGTCTACAACCTTAAAGTACAGTGCTTGGTTCTCCTTTCTCACACTGCTCACATGATACCTTGCCCTGTGAGCCCAGGAGAGCTTCCAGGCACTCTCTTACATTTGAATTTCAAATAAATAACGTTTTTTACAGAAAAAATACCACATTCAGTGCTTGTGTTTGGAAATTTTATACTGAAATATTCTTTATCTGAAATCCAAATTTAACTGGGCATGATAACACCCTTTTCTTTCTTTCTTTCTTTTTTTCCTGTTTTACAAACATGGCAACCTGATACATTTTCTTTACTATTTTTCCCTATCCAACTTAAAATCTGCTGTGTATTATTTATCCCAGTCATTTGACAGCAGTGTAACCTTAATTACATTATGGCCCTTTGATAGCTCTGTGTATGTCTGTGCATGCGTGCATAGGACATACACAGCAAACCTTAGATTCATTAGTAATTTCTTCAGCTTCCACCAACATGACCTCTCTCTTTAAATGTAGTTAAGTACTTCCCATCACACTGGTGACAATCATCAAACTGTTACAGGAGTAGAAAGTCCAGAGGGGGTGACATTTAATAAATAAATAAATAAATAAATAAATAAATAAATAAATAAATAGTGGATTTGAAACAATGGGGCAAATTTAACTGCCACTAGCAATTCACTTGGGTTGAAGAAATATTTCAGACTTGTCATGTCATGTCCTCCTGATAGTCTGCATACTCTCCCTCCTCTTCTGGAGCCCAAGTAGCACTGTTGGGTAAGTGATGCAGTCGCTACCTATTCGGTCAGTGGTTCAAACCCACCAGCCACTTTGATAGAGAAAGATGAGACTATTGCGCTCACAAAGATTGACAGCCGTGGAAACCCTATATAGGGCCCTATGACTCAATGGTATTGGGTTTGGGGTTTGCTTTTTCATTTCAGACTAGTAAATGGGAAAAGCTTTCAAGTGTTTATAGTTCAAGGGTCTTTTTTCTCCTCCCATTATTCTTTTCCCTAGCCAATAAAAAGAATGATGCTATAACATCAGTAAATTATCTATATTAATGGCTTTCCAGTTCTCTCTAAAGTTGACTGCACTCATGTCTGAGTATGTGACCTTGAACTCATTATCTTCCACTCCAGACCTACTGCCATGGAGTTGATTTTGACTCATAGCACTTATAGGATAGAATAAAACAGCCCCTGTGCGGTTTCTGTGACTTTAAATCTTTACAGGAGCAGACAGCTTTATCTTTCTCCCAAGAAGTGGCTACTAGGTTTGAACTGCTGTCCTTGTGGTTAGTAGTAGCTCAATGTGTACCGCACTATAACACCAGGGCTATTTAGCATTTGTCACACATGTATCAAAAGCATCTCAAACTTAACATGTGTGGCAAAAACTGTTTCCTACCCAGTATGTTTTCCTTCTTCCTTACAACCTGAACCCCTGTATAATTAAAGTTGCAGTGTGTTCAGATAAAGAGCCCTAGTGCCATCGCGGTTATGCATTAGGCTGCTCACCACAAGGTTAGCAGTTTGAAACCACCAGCTGCTCCGAGAGAGAAAGACAAGGGTTTCTGCTCCCATGAACAGTTACAGTCTCAGAACCCCTCAGCTATGGTTGTGTCCTGTCCTGTGGGATCACTTTGAGTCAGCATTGATGCAATAACAGTGAGTTTCCGTTTTTTGAGTACCCAGACTTTGGGGTGGGGCTGGGTTTGGGGGTTGCCCAGCCATTCTTATACCTAGGATGGCCACGGGATACAATTCTGACAGAACTCTTAAGGATGCCCAGTGAACTATGAAGGAACCTTGGTTGTGTAGGGGTTAAAGTGCTGCTAACTGAAAGGTGAGGATTAGAAGTGCAATTGCCCCCACCTTTGGTGCTTGAAACCTGGTCCCCTCAGCCCTTCATGATCCCACATGTTGGTGTGCTGCTTCCATGTGGGCTTTGTTGCTTCTGGGCTAGATGACCGCTTGTTTACTTTTAAGCCTTTAAGACCCCAGAAGCTATATCTCTCGATAGCGGGGCACCATCAGCCTTCTTCACCACATTACTTATGCACACATTCGTCTTCAGCATTTATGTGGGGAAGGTGATCACACAATGATGGTTTTTGTTCTTTGGTGTCTGCTGCCTGATCCCTTCACCACCTCGTGTTCACACAGGCTGGTGTGCTTCTTCTCTGTGGGCTTTGTTGCTTCTGAGCTAGATGGCAGCTTGTTTGCCTTAAAACCTTTAAGACCCCAGACCCAATGCCCATCTGTAGACACTCGAATATCCCTTGCAGAGGGGTAGTGGGGAGGAGATGAGTCACTCAGGGTTCAGTGTAGCAATAATGAAAGTCACAACCTTCTGCTAGTTCTTAAACGCTTCGTCCCCACAACTATCATGATCCCAAGTCTACCTTGCAAACCTGGTTAGACCAGAGGATGCACAGAGGTACAGATGAAAACTGGAAACAGGGAATCCAGGAC